GCATTCTAGCTATACCTATACCTGTACATACATTGTTTATGTTTATCTCCATCTCCACCTCTATCTCTATCTATCGATCTATCTAGCTATCTATCTGTCTATTAATCTAATCTGACCCATCTTATCTAATCTATCTAATATGTCTAATTAGTCTACTCTACGTAATCTGTTTCTAGTCTCTCTCTCTAATCTGTCCAGCCATGCATGCAGCTACCTTTACCCATCTAGCTAGCAATCTATCCATCCATGCATCCATCTACCTACCTGTCTATCGACTTACCTGACATCCACCCACCCACCCACCCACCCATCCATCCACCCACCCACCCACCCATCCATCCATCCATCCATCCATCGATCCATCCATACATGCAGCAATCTATCTACCTCTTCTATCTTTCCACCAGTCCATGCATGCATCCACCTGCCTATCTGCCTGGCTATCTATCTGTCTGTCCATCCATACATGCATCCGTTTTTGCATGCATCCAGCGCGTGCATGCATCCATCTTTTTAGCTACGTGACTATCTATGCCCCACTCTCTCTCTCTCTCTATCTCTCTCTCTCTCTGTCTCTCTGTCTCTCTCTCTCTCTCTCTGTCTCTCCTCTCTGTTTTCGTTTATCTATCTTGTTTGTCTGTCTGTCTGTCTGTCTGTCTGTCTGTCTGTCTGTCTGTCTGTCTGTCTGTCTGCCCGTCTGTCTCCGTCTCTCTCTCTCTCTCGCTCGCTCGAGGTTTCATTTTGGTCAACTGCCGCACCCCAGCCTTTAAGATCCCTCAAGCCTCGTCAGGCGGCTCATGTCCAAAGAGCTGCAGCTGCGCTTTGGCGACTAAGCGGGGGGGGGGGATGCAACGCCGGCAGACCTTCGGAACGCCCGCTTAGCCCCGGGCGATTGGGAGATGGTAGCCCCGGCTGTCCGGTTCTTTAGCTTTTGGGGCTTAGTGGAGGTTTGTATTGTTACCCGCAAGTTATTCACTTTTAGCAGGGGGTCTGACGTACAGCCCACCTTGAACCATTGGAGATATGCAGAACTGGGCAAAGACTCGGGATCTTCCGGCGTCCGAGAGCCCCAGCTGTTTGCGCGGGGCATGTGCGAGAGGTTGGCCCCGCCCGAAGCCCCGCAGAAGCGAAGGTCCAAGGGCCCTTTGAAGCCGAAGCGAAGCGAAAGGTTCTCGAAGGCTTACCTCGGTGGCTCTCGAAGGCGGCTTAGCGGTTTTTCGGTGTGGCTGTTTGGTTTAGTGACAGTGTCCAAATACCCAGTTTAAACTTTTGGCGGGGATATCAGGGCCCAGTTGCACAGGGGTAAATTCATGAAAGTCCACCCAGATCCCCGGAAACATTGATCTGTAGCGGAATCTTCTTTCGGAGGGCCTCTGCTGGTTGAGGTCCAAACCTATATATTCAATAGAACGTGGCCATGTTAGCTGGTTCGACAGGTGGCCTCATCTGACCAAACCCCTGAGATCGCAAAAAGCCTGGCGAGTTGCATGCGTTACATCCCGTGCCCAGACTTGACTCGAAATCTTTTGGAACCGGGGGGGGGGGCCTCCTGTTGACGCAACCAGTTTGCCTCAGGGACGAAGAGGGTGCCTCGGCGGCAACTCGCGAAGGGGTGGGTGAGGAGTTGGTGCCGAGTTGGTCGGCCTGCCCCAAATTAGAAGAAACCGCAATGGCTCACATGGCTGTGGGTCAAAACCAATGGATCCCATTTTGGGGGATTGGTGCACACTGGGGGTACGGGATTTTGACCCATGACCTACATGTGACTTTGGGATGCGGACAAGGCGCAATCTTGACCTTGCCGTTGTGAAGCCTTGTGGCTGGGCACCACATGCACCACATGCACCACATGCACCACATGCACCACATGCACCACATGCACCACATGCACCACATGCACCACATGCACCACATGCACCACATGCACCACATGCACCACATGCACCACACCACATCCGGGGCCTAGCACCAGACACCTCACAGCTGAAGGTTCCGGTGATGGACAGGTCTTCACCAGTTCGATGTTCAATGTGGACCCTGAGAGTTCTTCCTCTTTGGCACTGCAGCCAGGTTAGATTTCTTGTTCAAAGCAAAAGTCTCATGGCATCTTGGCTGGGACCTTTGCTTGGGAGAGTCTTTGCCATCTTCCAGGAACTCCATGCACCGGGGAGGATGGCACATGGATTTTTTGGGTGCCTCTGAGAATAGTCCCACCTGGTTAAGCCCAGCATCGACGTTCCCCGTACGGTTTCCAGCGACCAGGTAATGTTGACCCAGGAGTAATGAACCCGCCCCAGTAGTAGGGGGGTGTTCCCTCCCAAAAGTGATGAATCCCCACCAAAAGGGGGACAATTCATCACCCAGGGCTTTACAAAAATCCGGGGTTCACATTACCGAGCTTGATGCTGGTTTGGGCCACCCAACCCCGGCCACAAAGAGCCAGCCTTCCTTGTGGGCCGTTTTCTTTTGCCCTTCGCGGCTTCGCGGCTGCCAGCTGGTGACAGCCCCGTCGCCAGCGAGGGCGTGGAGGCACCACGAGAGGCAGGACTTGAACCGACCTCGCTGTCTGAAGTCAACTCACCTATGCAGGACCCTCACAAAGAGGGTTCCTCATGTCCTGGCTGGTGAAGTGCTGTTTTTCTCACCCAAACGCGGCACAATAGAGTACCTTCACCTTCAGAGGTGCTCCCTCCAAATCAACAATGCAATGAGTACCGCCAGGTGTCCTGTGTCCATTTTGGAAGGGTGGGCGCAGCCAAAAGTATAGTCGAGTTCGGTTGGGACATTTCCCATCACGGCGGATCGATCGCTTTGCATGGCGTCCTCTTTTGATTGGAGCGATGTTACGCGATGGTATGGAATAGCCCGCGCTTACTCAGACTATAGGCCTAGCTGGAACAACAAAGCTGAATTGACAATTCCCCCCCGGCTACGTGGAAACCTCAAATCGCCTGGTGTGGTTGGAGAGATATTTTACTTTTACGGCCCCATGATCTCAGCGGCGCAGACCGCGCTTGTCCTCAGAGCATTTGAACATGGACCCCAGAACGCATCCCGGAAAGCCTGCAGTTGTCGGCACCTTTTCAGGTTCCTTCTGTGACGTTTCGGAGGGTGCAATTCTGAAGGTGATTCGACTGTCAAGGCGTTGAATATCCACCGCGACACGAATTTCTGAACGAATCCCGTTTTTAACGCCCTGGAAAGGCCACAGTTGTTCAACTTGTTGGTGCACTTTTACTCAAAGTTCCAAAATATTAACAATTT